TGTATTTGGTTGTTGCAGGGTCTCACTACGCAGCTCAGATTCATAGTGACCCCCATGTTTTCAGCCTCCCCAGCGCTGGGATTACAGGCGCTTGCCACCACGCCCCTGGAATCTAAATGTAAATATATTTCCATGAAAAATATTTTTCTAGGGCTGGGGAGATGGCTCAGTAGAATAAGCGCTTCCCTGGCAAGCACAAGTGCCTGAGTTCAATCCCTGGTTCCGGAAAAAAAAAAATATCTATCTATCTATAGATATATCTATAGATAGATATTTTTTTCCTAGGGGGCTAGGGAGACGGCTCAGTGAAATAAGTGCTTCCCTGGCAAGTGCTCAAGGGCCTGAGTTCAATCTCCAGTTCTGCCAAATATATATATATATATATATATATATATATATATATTAATTTTTCTATAGCAAAACAAAAAAAGTGTTTTACATTTTTGCAAATACCTGTAACATCTGGCTTCATAAAAGCCAACTAATGTCCCCTCTCTGTTTTTGGTTGTAACTACATGTGTTTCATCTGACACATACAAAGAAACTCTGACCTTACACTGATAATGTAGTTGACAAAGGGCAACATAAGTTGACCTTGATGAGTATTTTAATGACCTCTGAGATAATTGTGGATTTTTTCTCTTTGACAATACATCAAATCTTGACAAATGGCAGTTTCTTGAAAAATAATTGCAATGTGTTTTCCAGAATTGTATTTATCAATTTTTCATTTTCTGGCACATTAAAATCCTTTAGCTCATATTTTCTTTTCTTTTTTTTTTTTTTTTTTTTTTTGAGGAACCGGGTATTGAACTCAGGCCCTTGTGTTTGCCAAGCAAGTGCTTATTCTACTGAGCCATATCCCCGGCCCCTCATATTTTCTTTGAATGGATCTTTTCCTTATGCATAATTATGTAACTTCAGACACTTGGTCTTTGGTAAAATATTGGTTCACTAAGTTAAGAAGATCTTCCCAATATTGACACTTTTTCTTACATGTTATTCTTTTTATTTATTTATTTATGTATTTATTTATTTATTGGCGGAACACGGGATTGAACTCAGGCCCTTGCACTTGCCAGGGAAGCGCTTATTCCACTGAGCCATCTCCCTGGCCCCTCCATGCTATTCTTTTTAAAAACTGGAATCGTTAATATCACTGGTCTCATCAGAAAATAATTCAAGTATTGAGAAGCTATCAAGCATCAAATATATATTTTCTAAACTGATAATTCCTACCACAAGGTTCAAGTATTATCAGTAACAACAATTGTTCCTTTTTTTTTAGAAGTGACAGGCAAACTTTGTGGTTCTTTAAAAAATCTTTATTTTACTTATTTCTTTGGTCCAGGGTCTCATTACACACCTGGGACTCATAGTGACCCTCCTGTCTCAGCCTCCTCAGCACTGGGATTACAGGCATGCACCAGCAAGCCCTGTTTCAGTGGCTGACATGGCATGCGGTAGGGGGGATAGAACCCCAGGCCCTTGTGCTTGCCAGGCAGGCGCTTAGACCACTGAACTGTCTCCTCAGCCCCAACTCTGGTATCCAAACTGTCTAAAACACGTCTAGATAAGCATAGTTTGCACATCTTTCTTTCAAGTAAAAATAGTGTTACATAAAAGTAAAACAAACTCATACATTAACTCAGTTCACAATTCTAGCACAGAATTGTCTCACAATTTTTCGAGAGACAACTACAGCACTTTGACATGCAGCAGAGTGGATGCTTATGCATATTTCCTGTTTGTTTTTTCCCCCCACAATATTTAAAAAACATATATCTAAGGATTGAACTTCAATGAAATCAGTCATCTTTATAAAGAACAATCTCAAGTGACATTTGGCTCTGGCTGGGATTTTTGGTTTTGTTTTTTTTTTAAATTTTGTGTGTGTGTGTGGCCAGCTCAGCCCACCAGGGGGCGGGGCTGGCTGGCTTGTGGTGCTGGGGGATTGAACCGCAGTCCCTGTGCTTTGCTAAGCTTGTTCTAAGTAGGTGCTTTAGACCACTGAGCCATCTCACCAGTCCAGTTTTTTTGGTTTTGTTTAGTGAGGAACACACAGACCACTGGTGCCATTGGTGCCCTGCCTTAGCTTGGGCTAAGACTTTTTATCCACCATTATGTTTGCACCACTGATGATAAGTCAACCTTATTGGGGCCGGGGAGATGGCTCAGTGGAATAAGTGCTTGCTGGGCAAGCTCAAGGGCCTGAGTTCAATCCCCGGTTCCTCCAGAAAAAAAAATTGCTTAGGGGGAAGACAGTCTCCAGAAAAAAAAAAAAAAAAAAAAAAGTCAACCTTGCAAACAAATCAAGTAAGTCTGCTTTGTTATGCTAATTGTTCCAACCTTGCAGATTATCTTAAAGGGTCTCAAGGACTCGCCGGGTGTTAGGGGCACCCTGAGAGCCCATGGGCCTTGGCACCTTAAGAAATCACAGGTCTTTCTTTTCAGGGTTATCAATGCTTAAGTCTTACTTACTAAAGGTTTGGTTCCTGAACTGCCCAAAACGATACATCCCAAAGCATCGAACATACCCGAGGGGAAATCCTATTGCGCATACAGCTCTAAAGCTCATGTAGCAAGAAAATAACTGGGGTGGAGGGGGGCGGGGGGCGGGGGGCTGCGGCGCGGGGTGGGGAAAGAAGGGATTCAGAAGGCGGGCCTGAGCTTGTCGTTACCAGGGGCAACGATCCTCAGCGAAAAACGAGGACATCGACTGGTGATGCCTGGCCTTGGCCAGCGAAGGAGAGGGCGGGGCGGAGGGAGCCGGAAGGCCCTTTTGGGCCTGTGGTCGCCAGGGTTTTCGGTTGCCAGACCGCTCGCGCGTTCTGCGATCTATTAAGAGTGGCTTTCTGGAGCCCCTGAGGAGGTCCGGGAGGGAGGGAGGAAGATGGCGGCAGTGGCGGCGGGCGGCCTAGTAGGCAAGGGGCGCGACATCAGCCTGGCCGCCCTGCAGCGCCACGACCCCTATATCAACCGCATCGTGGACGTGGCCAGCCAGGTGGCTCTGTACACTTTCGGCCATCGCGCCAACGAGTGGGTGCGTGCGGACGCGACGGGACAGTGCAGAGCCGGGCTGGTGCGGGGACGGGGGTCCTTCTCGGGGTTCCCGGAGCCGGCCAGGGAGGACAGGCCTGCGGAGGCGGTGGAGCGGGGTCGCAGCCGCAGCCGCGCCGACTGGACCCCTGGGGCCCGGGGGAGGGCGGCCCGAGCGGAGTCTGTCCCGCGAAAGACGCGCGAGCAGAGGGCCGGGTGGGAGACGGGCCGAGTGCTGTTCTGAGCTGCCCTCTCGATGGGCGGGGAGAAGCAGCGAGCGAGGCAGACGCGGCACGTGAAAGAAAAGTGGGAGTCTGACGTTGGCAGGCGGGTGTCCTGGGGCGCTGCGCGCTGCAGCCTCTGCTGCCGGCGTCCTTTCCGTAGCCCGATTTCTAGTGCCCTTCTCAAAGCTGAGCCCCAGGCAAGACTAACACGAGACATTTGGGCCTTCCCCCCACAGCTTGAATGTGGCAGCCGCATAACACACGTGGGGAGCTCCGTGGCAGGAATTGCCTCACCAAATTTTGTACCCCATCTCCTTGACTGCAGGAACATGTCATTTTTTTCTCTTCGTAGTGGTTTTGTACTGAGTGGTACTCAGCTGTTATGGTGCCATCCATTTTTTACAAATGAGTTAGAACTTACTTGAAAGGATTTCTTTTTCTTTTTCTTTTTTATTTGGTGGAACCGGGGATTGAACTCAGCCCCTTGCGCTTGCCAGGAAAGTGCTTATTCCACTGAGCCATCTCCCGGCCCCCTTGAAAGGATTTCAAATGAATTTTCTGACGAGTTTCTCAAGTCAGGAAGAAAAATCACAATTTAAGGAAAATTTAGCAAATTCATTTTTTAAACATCCACTTAAGTCGTCTTTTTTTCTCTCTCTCATAATTTTATTGAGAAACAAACAGCAATGAGAGAGTTTCAAATCAAATTGGTAGGACAGTTTCAATAACACTTTGCATACATTCTTCCTAGTGGTTAATTGCTGTACAAGATGCAGACATGATATTCTATTTACAAACACCCCACCTTTAGAACAAATCCCTCTATTCATTAAGAGAATGTAACTATATATCTATCCTAGCCACTTTGAATACACAGATACAAAATGGACATTCATCTGTATCCCCCTTTTTTTTTGTTAAGTTGTTATTTGAATATTATAGGTGTGTAAACTCAGCAAAATATTCTAAAAGAGTTCAGTAGTCCATAATAGTATTGGGTCTTCCACTTGGCTGGCAATGTCAGAAATTGTTGACTTGAGTCCCCTACAGCTCAACCTAACAGCACGGCTTTACTTCTTAAGCAGGTTGTACTAGTCACCTGAAAAATCGTTGACTCGGGCAGAGGATGTAGCTCAGTGGTAGAGTGCCTGCCTGGTGTCCCTGGATTCAGTCCCTAGTAACACACACACACACACACACACACACACACTCATTGATGCAAAAATAAAAATGCCATAAAGGGTTGGACAGATGGCTTGGTGGTAGAGTACTTGGTGAGGTGGGCCCAGACCCTGGGTTTTATCCCCAGCACCGAAAACAAGTATCCCCCAAATGAGAGGACAGAGTTTTGCTCCAGATTCTTAAAAGAAATGGGGCAAAGATTCTAGGTCTGCTCTCCTAGTTGCCAAAACCAAAAGCAACACGTGAAGATCTCTTTTAACACTCACATCATCTGTAGTAGAAAGCACATCCTTTGATCAGGAAAGAAGCTATTCCTGTCCCCCCTCCTAGTTAGCAGCGGAATTTATCACCTGAGTTTTCATATAGAAATCACTGATATTGGGGCTGGTGAGATGGCTCAGGGGTCTAAAGCACCTACTTAGAACAAGCTTAGCAAAGCACAGGGACCGCGGTTCAATCCCCCAGCACCACATGCCAGCCAGCCCCGCCCCCTGGTGG